AGGAAAGAGCGTTGAAATCGAGTGTAAGGGGAGAATCGACCATGCAGAAGAACAACCAGCACGCTGTTTTCGATGATTTGTTGTGCCTGAACGGCGGTGAAGATTTCTCCGTCGATTGTTTCTTTGATTTCACGAACGGAGAATTCGAAAACGAAGAAGAAGAAGAAGTAGTAGAGAGAAATGAAGAAATTATGGGTTTTCTCTCTCGCAAGAACGTGTAGCGGATGATGATAGCAACTCGAATTCCAGCGGTTTATCCTTCGATTCTGTTCTCACCAACGAATTATCCGTACCGGTAAACTTCAATTTCTTGAACAAATTATTTTAAATCACAAAAAAAGGAATTAAACCCTTTTTTCCATGCAAAATTGATTTATTTATATATATATATATATATATATTTGTTTTCTAGGATGAAGAAATTGCAGGGCTTGAATGGGTATCTCAGTTTGTGGACGATTCGGTTCCGGAGCTTCGATTTCCATGCCCCTTTTTCAAGGAAAACCAGAAAAAACCTCGGTTCGAATCCGCGCCGGCGCCGGTTTTGTGAAAACGCCGTGTTTTTCTTCACCGGTTCCGTCTAAAAGTCGGAGCAAAAGGGCTAAAACAACCGGAAAAGCATGGCCGGTTGGGTCGATGCCTCTTTCCGAGTCATCGTCTTCGACGACGGCGTCGTCATCTTCAACCGCTTCCTCCGGATTTTCCATGACTTCGGCTCTGGTTCTCAAAACCGAGTGACCGACGATTTCGCTGAACCGCCGGCGAAAAAGCAGAGGAAAAAACCGGGGGTTCAGTCCAGCGGCGGGATCGCTTTCCAACGGAGGTGTAGTCATTGCCAAGTTCAAAAGACTCCCCAGTGGCGAACCGGTCCACTCGGTGCCAAAACCTTGTGCAACGCTTGTGGGGTTCGTTACAAGTCCGGTCGGCTCTTTCCCGAGTACAGACCGGCTTGCAGCCCCACTTTTTCCGGCGACGTACACTCCAACAGCCACCGGAAAATTTTGGAAATGAGGAGGAAGAAAGAGGTGACGGAAGGGAAAGTGTCGGGTGAGTTGACTCGGATGATTCCGAGCTTTTGAGAGTTTACAGAAATAGCAAGCTAAACCAGGGTTGAACCGGGTTTAATTTAACTCTTATTAGGTTTAGTTTAGTTCCTAGTATTTCAGGGTCTAATTTCGGATGCTAGATAGGGTCTTAATTTATAGTATTTAATTTCTTTCTAGACTTTTTATTCCTGGTCAATTTATTTTGCAGCAGATTTTAACGAGGAGGACTAAATTTTAAGTTTGAATTATAGATTTCAACCGCTAACTCCATATAAAATCCATATAAAATTTTAATTATAGATTTTTTTTATAAATCTAAAATAATTTAACGATAAATTTATAATTTAACATTCGTAGAATTTTTATTATTCAATGACAGAATAATGATATTTTTGAAAAAAAATAAAATTTTAAGGGCATTTTAGTCCAAAATACCGATAATGTTACAATACCTAAGGGAAGAGAGATAATGACATTTCTGGTAATATACTCCAAAAAATCTACTATTGATAATAAAATATTACTGGAAATAAGATTTTCGATCAACCAAACATAAAAATATCCCACAATCTTTAAACCAAATACCCCTAAATATAAAAAAAATGAACATTCAATGTCTAAAAATTACAAAATGTCTTCGTACATGGAACATGGAGTGTCACTTTTCGAGTGGTTATTGACACGTTCAAAGTGAAAGAGCAGGCTCTTGGTTTTGACAAATCGGGAGGCAAGGCCAAGTTGTGGAAATATCTGAATGAAAGGGTTAAAATGGGGTTGACAAGTGTGCCTTTTAACACCATTTTCAGTAAAGACAAAATCAAATGAATTATTATTCCATTTTATAGATTTTTGCATTTTTTTTATAAAAATAATATGCATTTTTCAAATATAGAGATTAGTTTTTGTTTAATAAAATCTATTTAGTATATTATTAAGAAAAAAAATCTATTTGAGAATTGCAATTGGATATTCTATCCATCAATGGTAAGACAACAAATTTCTTAACAATTTAGCACATTATCCAATCAAAGTTTGAGCATTGGAAATGAACAAAAGCCCCATCGGCAGCTGCTATTTTCATGTATACTCAACAAAAATGTGTAAATCAGCCAAATGCTTCATCTTCCAGCGTTGAAAAAGAGGTTCGATGATTTAATCCATAGCAAAAACAGGAAAAATACAATAGAATTCCTTATTAGAATGATGCATACAATCATACAACAGTAGTCAGAATTCTCACTTTGGTCGCCTATACATAATGTCATCCAGAGTTTCTTTGATGCGGTTTCCAATTTTATTCACATTCTTGACAACACCCGTTGCCACGAGGCCTGCGTTCCTTTTAAACCTGTATGTATATTCAGCAATCGCGATTTAAATGATGCGTAATTGTTAATGCATCTAAGAGTATTCCAAAATCTCAATCAGTGCTTGCCTGTTATAGAACTCATCTCCTGTCGACGGTGTTGGCCTCTGGGTTAGGGGTTGAGGAAGTGCATGACTATCTGCAAGTGAGCAAATACAAGAAATACTATATTAGGAAGAATTGAAACCTAATAAAGAGGTTTCCCTCTCTCATTTCTCGGCTTTATCTCTACTTCTATTCTTCTCTTTCCCCTCGCTCGTTCTCCATTATGTATACTCCTCTCTTCAGAATACCTTTCCTAATGAATCACCAAATCCAAACAAATTCCTAATGAAATTGCTCTCACGCATCTGGTTTGATAAATGCTTGAACTAAAACATTTGAACACGAAGTAATCATCAAGGATTCTAACCGATGACCAACTCCAGTCTAGAACTATAATATATCATCAATGAATAACATGCAACAAGAGATAGAACCCAGAATTTTTCTTTACAACTTACATCAAGAACTACAGCAAAGAGGTCGGGATGCTAGAGTTTGTGACTCAAATTCCATTGGGGCTCGACCCAAAAAAAATGCGGTCTTAGTTAAAAAATAAATTGGGAGAAAAATATGGGACTTGTGGTAGATACAGAGCCCCCACAGTACAATACAGTTTTAATCAACTAGGGTTACTGTATTATGTATCTGTATAAATATATATGTATCTGAGGTTCTAGGGGTTCTCTTATAATTTTGTCACCGACTATAGTAAATTATTCTCATCTGCCCATGATTTTTCACTTCTAGATTCTTCACGTAAATCTGTGTGTTCTTGTTGATTACTCGCCGTTATCATCTCAACTACTGTAACATGGGACTTTGAATGAACAATTGGTGTAACATTATTCTCAGACTCATGACTGTTTCCTCACACATGCCTAAAAAGACAAAACAAAAAACAAAATGAAATGAAATGACTTCAAATACCTTTGTTTTTATGCATATTGGCAGGAACATGGTCATTCGAAGCAGCTGTTCTGTCCAATAATACCTGAAGCAACAGGTAACCAGAATAGTGTATTATTTAACCGGGGACATACACGGGTGTCAACATGTATTGTACAGTGAAATACATGTTAAAACCGTTAAGACGTGCTCGTGATTCATTCTGGCCCTTGAGAAACATACACATAATTGTTAACATATTCTATAAGCGACGAAATATATTTCATATCGGACAATGCTAATGATTCATTCCGGTAATTGAAAAACCCAGATTATTGCTATGAGTGGAAAAATAGACGATCCAGTTGCCCACTGCAGTTTCATCGCTAATATCCAAACCACATAGAAAAAAATCATATATATTGGCAGTCATGTAGGGCATCATAAAAATCAACAATTCCTCAACAATTCAAATCCGAAATGAAATACAACTAATTTGCAGCCAAAACTCACAATCTCCAAACGTGCATTAGGAATACAGAATAAACAAAAAGGGAAAAGGAAATACCTCGAGACCGACACAGAAGGGCAATTCAGCTGGTTTATCAGACTGGTTATTATCAGCTGAAGAATCTTTATTATCCAAGAAAACCGAGTAACCGACACAAGCATACTTGAAATCCGTAAGAGTACGGCCTTCCTTGGAAGCTTCCAATTCAGATTCCCCAATTATGTACCTAGGTACTATCATAACTTCCATTCAGTTTTAACAAATAAATTCAAAAGAATCAAAGAAATGAAAGAAAACATAAGAAACCCAGAATCATAAGAACAGAAAAAAAAAAGACGACGAAGGGAGATAGATACCTTGTTGGAGAGTTCTGGGGATGCCGACGCAGGTGGGGTTTTGGGATTTGGATTTAAGAGCGGATGAGTAATAGAGGCATCCCTTGCATGATTTCCCTTTGGATCCTCGGATTTTATTTTGATTGTTGGGGTTCGCGCTAGAATTAGGGTTTTGATTTTGGGTTTCGATTTTGGCCTCTTCTTTGTTCATCTTCCTACTTTTACTGCCTGCAACTGAAATGGATGTTGGGTACTTTTGGAGTATAAATAGATCAATTTTGCAATTTCAGCCCTAAAAGTTGAATTCATTTGTATTTCATCCTCAAAATTTCTCATTTTCTTATATTAAAATGGGAAATGTAGTTCTGATTAATATTTATATATTTACATATTTAAAATCAATAAAATTATTTTAAAGTTATTAAATTATACTTAATCAAATTAAACCATGTTAAGTGCATGAATCAAGTGATGATAAGTGCACGAACCAAACAACTTTAGTGATAAAGTTTCAGGTTCAAGCACCAGTAATATTAATATATGAGTTTTCAATGTCAAATGATTGAGATTCATCTTTAGATAGATATTGTCTTGTACTTATCCAGATTACTTAAAAAAATACCAAGTCCGATCCGATCAAGTCCAAATCGAACCGGACCAATCAGGCCACCCAACCATTAAACTAATATAGTTCGTAGGTCTAAAAACTAACTAAAATCAAAATTTCGTACATAAAATGGACCAAACATTTTGGTAAAACTCTAATAATTGAACACTAATTCAAAATAACTTATTTATAAAAATATTCACTTAAAAGGGTTAAGACGGCATTCCATTTGGAAGAAGAAAAGAAAAGTTAAAACTACAAAAAGGGTTTTACAAAGCATAAATCATTCAAAGAAACTGTGAAGTTTAGGAAATTTCCAAATGGACACCGTACAGACATACCTACTCTAAGCTGCTCTAGATGTACCAAAAATTCTAAGTGTGCATATAATCACACGAAGCCCCTTTCTTGCAGTGCCCATTTTCATGGAATTTGCACACTCTCTGTCCTTTAGAGGACGACCTAGAAGAACCACCTCCACCGCCGAATGATGATTGCCTACTCCAAGGTTTTGCCCCACCGAAACCGGATTCACCGCCCTGGGAACTCCTGTCCCTTTGATCAGAAAACTTGTCTCCGTTGTAACTCGGTTCGTTTCCCCACATTCCACCTGTATTTCTAGACGGTGCCGGATAACCAGGATTTGCAATTCCTGGTGCTGCTCCTTGAGCTGGTGCAACCCACCCAGAATTTGCATTATTAACAATGTTGGGTCCTTGTCCAGGTGGTGTCCATCCTTGCATTGTATTCCCAGGACCAGTCCAACCTGGATTCACATTACCTGGCACTTGTCTTTGGCCGGGTGCAGCCCAATTTTGATTTGGGTTAACAGATGTTGAACCCTGACCAGGGGCTCCCCAGTTCATATTTGTGTTTGAAGGAGCCGGTGCACCCCATCCCATATTTTGATTCCCTGGCATTGGCCCCCAAGCAGGGTTCTGATTTCCTGGTGCTTGCCTCAGGGCAGTACCTTGGTTATCTGCGACAGTCATACCCCAAGGTAAATTGTGTGGAGCAGGAAGCTGAACATTTGACTGAATTGGACCAGCAGGTCTCCAAGAATCCAGTGGCATCATACTCTGTTGGCCAGGAGTTGGAAAACCCCCAGTGGGATTTCCTGGGTTGAAAGGAGCAGGAATTTGACTGGATTGTGATGCATCACTCCAATGACCATATGCAGCAGTTTGAGCAGGCATGGCAAGGGACGGATTTGGCTCTAACTTCTGAGTTGAAGCATTTGCCCACCTTTGATTTCCAGTGGCAAGTACGGAGGATGCAGAAATTGCTTCGTGCCTTGAAACTGAGACAGAACCCGGTCCATGAGTTTCGGCAGAAGGATTATGAGCACTCATAGATTGAACCAAATTCTGGATCGACGAAGCTGCGTTTTTTATATCAGCAGCTAAATTAACTGAAGCCTGATCATTGACCTGTCTCCTGTGTGATTCACTTGACACCATTGTATGCGAATGCACTACAGGAGCAGCTGGACTCCCACTCTCTGGGAGAACAGTAGCAGGTTGCAGCCCTACTGGACCTCCTTGGAATGGATTAGGTACCGGAAGAGACCCGGAAGGCTGTGCAGGAGTAGGAGACCATTTGCTTTCAAACGCTTGTCCCCTATTCCCACCAGAGGGAGTTTGGTTCGGAGTGGGAGAAGGTAGATTTGTGTCAGAAGCCCATGTATCTCGAGAATGCTTAGGGATCTCAAGTGAAGATGGGGAAGGTCTAACTGTGGAAGAAATGATTTCTGTTTGAGATTTCCAACTTTCTACGACAGATTGACCTGGTGAAGCCAAAACACGTTGAGGACTCCAAGCTACATGATGTTGATCAAGCCTTGATCTTTCTCCAACTTGGCTTTCCATTCCTTGTTTCAAGGTTGCTCCAAGAGAATTCCCATACAAGGCCATTTGAGCCTTTGGCAGGCTATTATCTACTACTGGAGGAGGGTCTTTCTGAAACTTTCCAGCCAAGGCATCAGTCAGAAGTATAGAATCGTCTTGCGCCTCATTAGTTCTCCATATTTTTAAATCAGCAGGGAAATATCCAGTGTTACTCCATTTCCGTAGCTGCACTATTGAAAACGGTCCTTGAAATTTACCAGATGGATCCTGGTAATGCCACATTTTCTCCGATTCATTAATTTGGACACCAGTAGCTACTCCCGCATATGGACGTGCAGGTGAACTTTCTGACACAACCTTCAAAGACGGTTCCTGGATTACAACATTGTGGGCATTCCTCGTCCCAATTTCTGAGTTCAAAGCAGTTTTCGGCTTGCTCCAACTGTTTGGTTGTTGTATTTCTCTCTCCCGTGCAAGACTCCATGAATTTTCATTCCCCATTTCACTAGCTACAATAGAATCATCCCCTTTGCTTGTAAATCCTTTACTAGATAGGCTCCTGCTTAGTTCCCGATTCATGCTAGAATAGTTTCTATTCCCACTCCATGAATCATTTGAACTGTAACCTCCCTTCCTGGGAGAAATCAGTTCTTTCCCTCGCCTGCTAAAACCACTACCTCTTGGCCTTAGATAATTCTCTGTATGAACCAAAAGATTATCAAACGCAAAGACAAATAAGAGATAACAGAGGGCATTAAAAAGTTCACAAGAAAAAAAGACCTTGTTTCTTATCATCTTCCTCCTCTTCTGATTCGTAACTAGGATCCATGTTGGGGTCTGCATGAATCTCAGGAAACTCCTCTAATCTACGCTGTAGCTCCTCAGGTGTCTTTAAAACCTGCAGTTTCTCTACACATTCTCTAAGCGTGAACAGAAGTTAAGGACTACAATGAAACAGTCGGAGACAGTTCTTTAAACGAAATATATCTAGCACATAGAAACTGTATATGAAATCAGCAAAGAACAAGAAATTCAAATATAACTAGAATCAAAATTATTTTTTTATAAGTTCAGTTAATCACTCAACCACAGGAAAGTACTCCCAAACAGCTACTTTCAGGAAGTGTTTAATTTTTTTCCTTAAAACAACGCAAAAAATATCTTTTTTTTTCAGATTGCACCACCAAGATGATCATTTAGTGCATTCTTTTCAATCATATACTTTATGATTATAAATCATAACAAATACTATTGAAAAAGAAGAAAACTTGTCTGTATAAGTAAAACTATTTATTGGAAACGATAAAAAATATGAGAGAGAGTGTCAGGAAAGAAGAGAGAGAAAAAGGAATAGGCCATTCTTCCTCCGGCGGGAGTTGGACTGTATTCGTTGACAACCTGAGTAAGAGAGTCACTAGGAGTGAGCTAAGAAACATATTTATCGATCAGGGTCAGGTGGTGAGAATTTTCATACCAAATGTGGTGAACAGGCCAAAGTATAAATCTTTCACTTTTGCCTTCGTTCAGTTTGGTAATGAAACAGAGATGAGGAATGCAGTTGAAAATATTAACGGGTTGTGGATAGATGGGAGGAAAATTTACGTTGGAGTTGCAAAGTACCAGAGTGTTCGACCAAGGGTTGCTGGTTCTTCTCGTCTTTCAGTTGGTGTCCAGGAAAAGGTTATATTTGATAAAGCTAATCCAAGTTCGAAGGCTGTGATTCCGAGCAGATTAAGAGATGATAGATCATACAAAGATGTCTTGGTGTCGTGCAGTTCGCAAAAGACTGAGTCGGAGCATATAGGAAAAAGTTACGAAAGTCTAGACAGGGGAAGAGGGATGAAGAAGAAGAAGAATATTTGGGAAATGCATATTCCTACTGAAAATTCAAGTTGGGTGAAAAGATCTCTAACGGGTATTGTGAAACATTCCTTTGAGTTGGAGTTGGTTCAAAAAGGTTTGGCTAGTGATGGTTTTGAAGTTCAAATTGCGAGCTGGGGATATGTTTGGAACTCTTGTGTTATAACGTTCAAATCAGAGGAATTGATGAAGGATGCGTGGTCAAATAAGAGTAAGGAGTTATGGTTCTGGTTCGATCGGTTGGCACCGCTGTTGAATGAAGGTGGAGTGCCTATGGCTTATTGTTTGGTGGAGTTGTTCGGTGTCCCTCTGTTATGTTGGCAAGAGAATTTCTTACAGAAGTTAGCTGGAAGGTGGGGTTCAGTGGAGGTCATCCAGGATTCGACTCTAACAAGGGAAGATCTCTCGATGGTGAGAATTTTGCTTAGGGTGGAAAGTCCCTTTGACGTCCCGGAAGTGTTTACTCTAGGTTCCTACGGAAGATCATATAAGGTGACTTCTAAGTTGGGATCTACTTCCCAGGTTTCAAACTTCTTTCATGGCATCTCGCCGGATAAATTTTCCGACGATAGAGTCACAGTCGTAGAGTCGTCAGAGGAGGAAGACGATAGTATACGTTCGTCAGACATGGCAGGTCCAGGTCAGCTTGATGTGGAAGATCGGCAGAAAGTGGACTTATGGATTGATCAGGGATTTCCTGTCGGGGTTGGTGCAGCAGGTGAAGAAAATCAGTTTTCAAAAAGAAGCTTGGCAGGGAAAGACATTAATGAAGTTGTGTCAGAAGGTCACAGTTTGGGGAGTAGTAAAAAGGGAGATTATGCTGGGCTGGGTTTAAGAAATAAGGGGGATTATAAAGATAGTTTGCAGGCCCTTTCAGACAGGAGCAGTGAGCCTTTTTCTCCTATCTTGAGACTAGTTCCGGCTGGGCCAGCAGTCAAATTCATTGGGCCCGGAAATGCTAATCAAAAGCAAATTCATAATGTTTCTAACAGCTCTGGGGATGGAGACAAAGACAGAGGCAGTCAAGGGTTATGGTCTGAGGCCGGTTTTAAGGATACAACAAGTATGGATGGGGAAGTGGGGTCTGCTGAAGGCTTAAAGTTGTCATGTTTTAGAGCTGGTTCGCCAACTCGTTCTGCTAGTCCTATTTCTTGGAAGAGTGCCCCGGTTGGGAGAAAGCTAATTAAGAGTCATAAGAGATTTTATAGCAGGTCCATAGAAAGAAAAATTACTTTGGATGAGCCAGGAAGGGTTTCTAGTTTAAAGTTGGGTAGGTTTCCTATCTCAAGTGGTTTTCATTCTAAAAGTCCAGAGGCGGCTGGGTTGGCTGAAGGGGTTTGTGTTGATCAAAGAGGCAAGCGCTCTTACAGGAGAATGAAAAGATCCCTCACTAGGGATGCTCTAGACCATGCTAGTGTGACTACAGTATCCACATTAACATTCTCAGGGCTGTTGGAGGAAGCGATTGCTACTTGGGAGATAAGCAGGATGCTGGGCATTTCTTTCAAGGAAGGGAAGAATGCTTTTCTACAAAAAATTATGGATTTGGAGAAAGGTTGAGTCAGGCTAGTGAGTCCTAAGATGGATTCTGGGATTGCTTTGGTATTTTTTATAATTGAATATGATGACAAAACTCATTATCTTGTCCTGGAATGTTAGGGGGCTGGGCAAAAAGGAAAAACAGAGAGCTGTTCAGAAGTTATCCTCAGAGAAAAAACCAATGTTTCTTTTTCTCCAAGAGACAAAACTTGAGATTTTACCAAGCTCATTTTTAAGAAGTGGGTTGAATAAGTTGCAGGGGTTCGTTGTGTCTCCAGCAGTTGGTTCTTCAGGAGGCTTATTTAGTTGTTGGGATGATAGTTGTTTTGAGTTAGAAGACCAGTTTATCCATAGGAGGTTTATTGCTGTTTTTGGGAAGTTCAAATTCAATCAATTTAGGTGTGGGTTCATTAATGTTTATGGCCCGTCTGTGGAAGAAGAGAAGGCCAGTTTCTTTGAAGAATTGGGACAGTTTTTAAATGGGTGCAGTTTGCCTTTATGTGTGGGAGGGGATTTCAATGCTTACTTAACAGAGGAGGAGAAGGATGGCAGGTCTCAAAATAGAAATTCAATGGATATTTTCACTCTGTTCATTCAGCAAACGGGGATGATCGACTTACCTTTAATAGGGGGGAATTATACATGGAGCAGTAATCGGGATTGCCCCACTGTTATTAGGCAGGATAGGTTTCTGGTTAATGTCAACTTCCTTTCTAAGTTTTCTGATATTACCCAATCGCTGTTGACAAAGTCCATTTCTGATCATAATGCTATTATTTTGGAGAGTGGGGAAGACAATTGGGGCAAGAGGCTGTTTAGGCTGTTTAGTTATTTGACGACTGAGGACGGCTTCCAAGAGAAAGTTGCAGAGTCTATTAATGAGTTCAAGAGGGTCAGAAAAAAAGCAGGAATTCTGAGCATTCTTAGAAACACTAAGTTTGCTATAAAGACTTGGTCTGGAAATAGGAATCAGTTTCCTAGTAAACAGATTTCTGCTATTGAAGACAAGATCCATCACCTAGAGAACTCTCTTCAGAAGAATCGAATTTCAGGAGTTATTGATAGTTCATCAGAGCTGAAGTTACTGAGGGATGAGCTTTGGAGACTTTACAGAATTGAGGAGCAAATCTGGTTTCAAAATTCAAGAGAGAAGTGGGTTAAAGATGGTGATCGGAATTCTAAATTTTTTCACACTTGTGCTTCCATTAGGAGTCGGAGGAACGCTCTAAATGCTATTTGTGTAGATGGGGTTATTATCAGGGACCCGGTCCGGTTAAAGTCTGCTGTCAAAGAGCATTTTTTCAAAGCTTTCAATAGCCGCACTACCTTGGAAGTGGAGGATATTAAGTTAAATTTCTCAAGAATTTCAATGGAGCAGAGTCTTATGCTAGAAAAGGAGTTTACGGAAGGCGAAATTTTGGAAGCCTTGAATTCGTGTGATAGTAACAAAGCTCCGGGTCCGGATGGGCTGAGTATGGGTTTTTTCAAAAAAATTTGGTCTTCATTGAAAGGTGATATTATGAATTTTTTCAATAACTTTTACTTGGGAAAGGATTGGGAGCATGGCATTAATCATTCGTTCATAACTCTAATTCCAAAGGGCTCTAATATTGGGGGTTTAGATGATTTCAGACCAATTAGCCTAGTAGGTGGGATGTACAAGATTCTTTCCAAGTGCCTTTCGAGAAGGTTGAGGTGTTGCATGGATGATGTTGTTAGTGATTCACAATTTGCCTTCACTCAGGGTAGACAATCTTGGATTGTTCTTTCATCGCTAATGAAGGTATTGATTTGTGGAGGAAGAAAGGATTGAAGGGTTGTGTGTTGAAGGTGGATTTCAAGAAAGCTACGATACGGTAGATTGGGATATTTTATTTAAAGTTATGGTTAGAATGGGATTCGGATTAAAATGGTGTGGCTGGATTCGGAAATGTGTGTCAACTGCCTCGGTTTCAGTGCTAGTTAATGGGTTCCTACGGATGAATTTCCTATGGCTAGAGGTCTTAGACAAGGGTGCTCCTTGTCACCATTGCTGTTTAATTTCATTGGCGAGTTACTTAATCTACTGATTAGGAAAGCAGTATCTTCGGGCCTGTTCAGTGGTTTGATTGTTGGCAAGGATGATACAGCTCTTAATTTGTCACATTGCAATTCGCAGATGATCTCATTATCTTCTGTATGGCTTCGAAGACACAGATTCTAAATGTCAAGAGGGTCTTACGGGTCTTTGAAGTCATTTCAGGACTGCAATTAAACCTCACTAAGTGTAGATTATTTGGGATTAATATCAGTGAGGAAGAGGTGTTGCAGTGGGCTAATACTATTGGTTGTGTAGTGGGACATTTTCCTTCGGAATATTTGGGATTACGCTTGGTGCTAAGAGAAATTCTATAGCGTTGTGGGATCCGATAGTGCAGAAATTTAACAAGAAGCTAGCCAGCTGGAAGGCGAGGACTCTGTCTGTGGCAGGAAGATTAGTGTTATTAAAGGCTGTTTTATGCTCATTACCCACCTATTTCATGTCCCTGTTTAAAATACCCTCTTCCGTGATTGTTAAGCTAAACTCCATTATGGCCAGTTTTCTATGGGGAGGAGGGGCAGAGGTTAAAAAAATCCATTGGATAAACTGGTCGACAGTATGCTCTGCAAAAAGTGCGGGTGGTCTAGGAGTTCTAGATCTTAATTACATGAATAGAGCACTCCTAGGAAAGTGGTCTTGGAGGTTTGCGAATGATAGAGGGTCAGTGTGGAAAAAGGTTATTTGCAGTAAGTATAATCTGGACCCTAGTTTGTTGATGTTCAAGGAAAAACTACCTGCTTTTTCTTCTTGGATTTGGAAATCGATAGTCAATAATCATTTCAAAGATAACCAGTTCGGAGCTAAATTTCGAAGTCTGTTAGATGTTCGAGTAGGCAGTGGGGACAGAATCAGTTTCTGGTCTGATAATTGGACGACTATTTCCCCTCTTAAAGAGGTCTTCCCCAGATTATTTGTTCTGTCTGTAAATAAAAATGGGAAGTTAAAAGAGTTTGGTGAGTTCAAGACCTCAGTTTGGTGTTGGCATGTTCAATTGAGAAGGAGTTTGAGTGACTGGGAACTGGTTCAATTTTGCGATCTGATGACCTTAATTCACAATATACCTCTGTCCAAGGATCTGTCTGATGGGTGGGTTTGGAGAGGAAACGGGGATGGGATCTATTCTGTTAAGACCAGTGTTAAAGCTTGCAGTCCTGTTTTGTCAGCTGATTCTTTTTGGATGAAATTCATTTGGAGGGGTTTGGTGCCTCCCAGAGTGGAGGTCTTTTTGTGGCAGGTTGTGCATCATAGACTGCCAGTAAAACAGGAACTACAAAGGAGAGGAGTTTCAGCTGTTATAGATGTGTCATGTCCCCTTTGTAAAAAAGAGGTTGAATCCTCTTTGCATTTATTTTTTACTTGCCTTGTGGCATGGGCATTGTGGATGAAATTTTTGAAATTGTGGGGTGTTAGTTCGGTTTTGCAGGCCAATGCTCAAAGTTTTCTGATAGCTTGGGAGCATTTGGTTCCTAATTCTAGAATTTGGTCATATATTCCAGTGTGGTGCTATGGACTATATGGAAATATAGGAATGACATTGTGTTTGATGGGGGTAGGCTCGATCAGATCGATTTGTTTTTTATGGCAAGATGTAGGCTGGCGACCTGGTTCATAACGAATACCAAGGATGTCTCTATTCTAAAAGACTCTCTCATCTCTGATCCTACTATTGGGGATTATTGCTCTAAGTCAAGGTGTTCGATCATTGAAATTGTGTCTTGGTCTCCTCCTCCAAAGGGTTTTATTAAACTTAATGTGGATGCAGCAGTGAATGGTGATTGGAGGAAGAGTGGTGTTGGGGGAATTCTTAGAGATGAGGATGGCTCGGTGATGGGCTCTTTTCAAGAGCCTTCTGGTCCAGGTCCTCCGGCGCTGATTGAGTTGTTGGCAGTTAAGAGGGGCCTAATTTTTTTGAGCCGTTTCATCAGCAGATGAAGGAACGTTTATTGATTGAATCTGACAGTAAGCTTGCAGTAGAGTGGGTCAAGAATTTTGAGCTCTGTCCCGGTGTATACTCTAATTTAGTAAAAGATATTGTTACTAAGTTAAGGGAGTTGAATGGTATTATTAGATGGGTTGCTAGGTCAGCCAATGTTGAGGCTGATAGTTTAGCCAAAGCTGGTATTGGCTAGTTTTACATTTGTGATTTGCTTTTGTAGTCTTTGGGTTGGATTATGTACAGGGAGTGTTTATGTGTTGTTGTTAAACATTATGTATATTGTGGTTTTTAATGAATCCTAAGGCACTCTTTTCCTCCTTCCGCTGATTGAGAAACACTTAGTGTTCCATTAATCATGAAGGGGTTTTTAACGAGGCCTACATTCCTATCAAAAAAAAAAAAGTAAAACTATTTAACAAGGCACCCTACTCCACCAAATCCCCAAATTTGGACAGTTCAAAAAATTGGAAGGTCTCCAGGTTTAGCAGGGATATCTCTCCCTTTAACACCTAAAAGATGTTCTGAATAAAGGTGAGGCTACTGGTCTTCCTCCCTTCCCTCAATCAAGACATCAAGGTCAAGCCTCTAGCATATCCAATGTCCAAAAATGTTGTAATGTCGTCAAAAACTAATTGAATGCATCTAACAGCAACTGAAGAGAATTGTAGAGCAGAAACTAAAATTACAAGCAAAGGATATTCCTTTCTACGTCCTAAATCACTGGCTCGATCGCGAAGATGACTGAGACGTGTTATCTCTGATTCCAACCACTGCATTTTGATAACAGAGAAATTTTGGTTATTCCTTTTTAATAACACAAACTGATATGAAGCAAACAATGATACTACTCAAGCAGATCAAATTCAGGATTAAGATCCTGATCCTTTTTTGCATATTATCCATATTTAAAAAATTTCACTCTTTTTTGTTTGAGGTATCACACTTAATCAAGAATACCCACCAGATAAAGTTGTGCTTCATGATTTTCAAGATCACGGAACATACTAATTAGCCATTCTAACAGAAGTGTCTGCATGTCTACATACATGCATAGAAATATATATATGTGTGTGTGTGATAACCTTAGTTGAAAAGAAAGATATTTACATCTTTGACTCTGACTTCCTGAATTGTCATGGCCTTTTCCTGTATATCTCCCTGCAACAATCAATAAATCTCATAAAAATGACTCCAAATGAAATTTAAAAGAAAATAAAGATAACCGTGGGATAAAAAAAAAATGATAAACAAGAAGTGAAAATACCACAGTCAGCCGGTTGATAAGTCCACACTTGATGCTCTGACGCAGACGCTTGCATTCATCCTAAAAGATCAATTGGCTTAGCTTATTCTTAACATGAAACAGTTTTTAAAAAAAATAATAAAAACAAAATAGTGGCCGAACAAGATTTCAGTATGCGTGTGTATCATAGAATTGCTGATATTGACACTTTTTATTCCCTATGAACAAGAGAAATAGTATTGTCAAATTTTAGGCTTCAAGCTTCTAGTGAAAGATTTTGAATTTTTTCTAATACATTAATTTGGCAGGTTTCTAGGAAGGGCATCCTCTGTTTTCATACACAAGCTTCAATATAAGATCATATTGTCCTTTACTTAGAGAAAAGCAACTCCATCAAAGATGCAGATGGTCAATAAAGGAAAAATAAAATGCAATTCCACTTTCAACTGAAAACTACCTCAGTGAACTCTTGATTTGATATAATATCAATTGATACGGCCTCCGTCTTATTTAAATTTAGAATCTCTAGTAGAAAATCGGTTGTTCTTTTGCCAACTCTATATTGTTCAGCAACTTTGCTTGTACCTGAACAACAAATCATATCGTTTAACAATCTTATGAGATTTGGTACTTGTGCTGAAGTAAAAGACATGCAATGGTAGACAGTTTCCAGGTATTTACCAACAACTTGCACTAGCCTATACAAATCTTGCTTTTGACCAGTACCAGATATTCTTATTCTCACAAAAGAATCAACAACCTTGTCATGGAATGTTTCAGTATCTTCAAGCAATTCCTCCGCCAAATTTCGTCGCAAATAAATTAGATTGATATTATGCATATCAATGGCAGCATAATCATCCACATTCGATTGAAGTCCCCTTGCATCACCCTTCTTACGATTCTTACGTTTCTTATCTTTTCCAGTCTTTGTCAAAGCATCAGAGTTCCAATCAGCCTCAAGTTGATTAGCTTCTGCATCCACAACACTCCCTTGGAAATCATCGGTCTGAGAATCCTCCTTCGTGAAAAATATGTGAGGCTCAAGAAGATTTAACATTTCAATATGCCCCACTCTCGGTTTCCCAAACAGATTCTTAAGTCTTGTGTCACAAATGACGTAAGACTTATTGCGACGATCTCGAAGCTTGTACTTGTGAATGTAATCCAATATAAGCTGACTGAGCTCCATTCGAGATAAAACAGATTTGTCGCCGTTTCTCATGTTCATAACAACTTCCAAGAGCTCTTTCGATGCCCACTCAGCATTTTCATCTATTGATGCCCCTTCACCACTAGCTGCAAGAGTGCTTGGTGAATCACCCCCCTTTGCACGTGCCTTTGATTGACTCCTAGTCTTTCTTCGTTTAGAAACAGTTACTTCCAAATTCCCAGAAGAATTATCAGAGTCAGACCCTCCAGCATCATCAAAACCATGAAGTTCATCATGTGATTCCTGTTTGGCAGCACCTTTCCAGGGATTTTTAGCCTGAGAAAGTTCATCTAAAGTTATAGATAACCTCTCTTTTAAATCAGTCCAATAATCCTTGAATAGATATTCCCAGCTACCTCGGTCATCAAAATCTATTTGTGTCTGCAAAAGTAACAACAAATGTTATGGATAACCACAAAATGGAGAATTTCCACCAAACTAGCAGCAAGAGAGAGAGAGAGAGAGCAAAGCAACTAATAAACCCGAAAATCCCAAACAAAGAACTAATCAACATTCATATGTGAATACAGCCACAGAATAACTAGTAATCTGTTGACTTTATTTACTGAACCAAGACGAAATATTAATGCATGTTTCTCGATTTCCCTTTTAGCTCAGGCTCAGCACAGTCTCTCAATCTGAAAGACTTAACATGTGATGTTCTCTGGTGAACACTCTCCAGTCTTTTTCATTTTTTCTTACAGACAAAACAAAAAGCAGAAACCATTGAAGAATGCAACTGAAAACAATGCCAGTATGAAGGTCAAGAGGTATAGCCATACAATTCAAACTCGTTGACTATTTTTCAAAGATTGTGAAACATTTAAAGAAACATAGACTTGAAACAATCTATAATGAAGCATGCTAAAAAACCAAAATAAATCACCCTAATAAAACAGCCAAAAGAGACAGAATAACCCCCCCCCCAAAAAAAAAAGAGCTCAAGAATTATATCAATAATTTTGACATTATATGAGGAAAGAAAGTTGATTATATGAAATCACCTGTTACATATTCGCAACTTACCACATTAACAATCCTATTAGGCTAAAAAATTATCAAAAGAAACTAAATTTTGAAACACAGTATAGCAGACAAATCGAGATAAGTGCAGAAATGATTCCAAATATAAAATTCCCACAATCAAATAAAATCATGGAAGCATACTGCAAATACAAAAGACAACATCAGGAGTTGCACACTCTTAATGCATATATAACTGAAAACAACACAATCAAGCTCACAATGTTCAATGATGAAACAATAATGAAACATTGCAAATGCAAAGAATAAAACAAAAATTAAATGGAAATAAAATTACAGTATAATAATACTATTTCTTCATTTACCTGATCCTTCCTTTCAATCAACATGACAAGATTCATGCATGACTCGCAGAAACCTTTGTTACCCCTAACACATAGGATTACAGCATCTTTGATGCATCCCTTGCACAAGGAAAAGGTACATGTATAACACATATAATGGGCATTCTTCTTACAGTTGCTACATAGATGCCAACCTAATTCACAGAAAGCACAACTTGAATTAGAATAGAGAAGTAAAAAGTACCATAAAGACATTTTCTCTATACATAAAAACCAAAGTTGATAAATGAAATTTATACATATATATAAGCAAAGAATGATGACAACAGAGAAATCAGACCACGGTGTCAACCAACATATTTTTTACCTGCAGCATCTTAACAGAAAGTAACAGCAAACAAGTAGTCACACAAATAGGCAAACAGAAAGATATTCACAAATGCACATTCCAAGTCCCTAAATGCCTATGCCCCCTTAAGCCTCGAGCTCGAGCAAGCACCCTTGCATAAAGAATTCTAAAAGCTTATGAACCAGTCTTTCTTTCTTCAGACATTGAAAAAAAAATGCAGACAAAAAATGTCATAACCTTGAACATGAATATTTTAGTAGAGCCTCTTATCATACATTATAGAATGTTCATCATTCTTTGATGATCCCAAAGTGTATAACATAAGCATATAACACGGCTGTCACTCAGTGGATCATGCTTACAAAGTTAGCTTATCCTACCAATTGTATCCTGAAATCTATATAACCAGTTCTGTCAGCTGTCTTGCCTATTTCTCATTCAAGCCAAAAGGTATATATTCCATTCAGGTCTTTTCCCTTCATTTTCCACACAAAAATGTTATACTTCCCACTCCCCACTGCATCTTTTCATACTAATGAGCATCTGAAAGTTGAGCTTTCTCAAGGAGAAGGGCACTGCTTGGAGGTACAAAAGAAGAGAAAAGAAAATTTTCTATGTTAAATAAGACCAAAAAATGGCTTGCCCAGTGTTTGCAAAATAGTAGTCTCTTGTCCCATAATCATTTAACACGAATTAATGAAACTGTAAGTTCTTATTCCTTTTTTGTGCATAGTTTAAACAAACAAAGAGAAGTATTTCCGGTTGGCTCAAGTGAAGGGCATTTAGGGCAGACCAAATTGCCTTTTGCAAAGATAGCTACATGTCATTCTCAGTTAACATCAGAAAAAAATTGACCAAAAGTTCAATTCAGCATCACTCCATGTGAAATTTCAACGGGTCCTTAGCAATAAGAAAAACACAATTTTAAAGTTCCAAACATATCATTAGTTGGCCCCAAATGCACATTTAGCATGCAAGTGGATATCTGTCACTCTACATGAAATTCAATCAACTTGCAAGCTCCAAAACTGATGTCATAATTTCTGCCCACTTATAAAGTCAAAGTACAGCAGTTGCATGGTTCTGCACTTATGTCTAAATAAAAGGCAGGTAACCAAGCTCTCACACACTGGACCGGGAGTATTACAAATATAAACACTGAAGTCACTGGAAAACTCAGCATTTTGACCTTGATTGAATTTTTTTCATGAGCGAAGGGCATCGGATGACTAAGCGATGATTGCATTCCAGGACAATAATTACAACGTGCAGTTTTGCTTCAAATCCAAGCATTGTGAGTAGCCATTTCCTTGACCTGGAATGAAAGGTGAACCCTATTTACTACAGAGAGATACTACACTTCAAATGTTCTTTTGAGCGCCATTAAACCCATTCAAGAAGCATGCAAAACTTTAGCGGTGTCCTGATCAAAACTAAACAATGAACTTCCTTGCCTTCAGAAAAGCCCACTCCAGCAGATTTCACTGTCATTTACATCAAACATTTCGCAAAGAAAAGAAGTAATGACTTCAATAATGGTGCAATCAAATACAAAATCAAATTTTTTGGAGCCCATGTTCCTAAATCAGTATCGGCTTGCGAGCAAACAGCAATTTTTCACCTAAATATTGCAAAAAATAATAATAGACGATACGCTCGAGGTAAAAATAAAATAGCACCACTGTGACAAGCAACAGATTGTTTCATATTCCACAAGGCCCTAAAATAAACTCAGGTTTTAGAAGTTAGAGAGTGCAATAAAGGAACTTACCACAATTCCATTTACCCTTTGTTTGAAAGAAAGCCTCATCTCGACCAACACAAGCAGGATGGTAAGCCTTTGGGCAACCCCTAAGGAAGAAAACAACAGAAAGAGTAAGACATTGAATACAAATATACAGCTTGTATGAGATTCAGATTTGGTAGACTCACCTGCGGTCACAAAGCACAAGGGCACCGCCATCAAAGCATATGAAACAGACATCCTCTTCTGCCTTCTTCCTAGATGGAGCTTTTGCCTGAACCTTAGCACTCAAATTCTTTCCCCGCTTCCTCTTGCCAACACTGGCTTTACTAGTATCCTCTATCTCCTCCATACCCTCCATCTCCTCTGCTGCCTCGGTTTCCAACTCTTCTGTCATGTCTGGCAACTCAGAGTAATCTGCTGCTCTCATTACCTCTGCAGTATCTGTCATCTCCGTCTCTGTCCCCTCTGCTTTGTCAACGTCCTCTGCTACATTTCCTAAACATGTATCTTCTTCATTATCCGATTCCTCTTCCATCGCAGGGTCCTCCTCTGCCTCAACCGTATCTGCACCTGCTTCCTCTATAGCATGCATATCCTCCAAATTTTCAGTTTGTTCAGACACATTATTCACCATTTTTCCTTCCATTAAAAGGTACTCCTCTGCCTCGACCATATCCATACTTGCTTCCTCTACAGCATGAATATCCTCCAAATTTTCAGTTTGTTCAGACACGTTATTCACAATTTTTCTTTCCATCACAGGGTTCTCCTCTGACTCAGTCATATCGGTACCTACTTCCCCTACAGCATGAAGATCCTCCAAGTTTCCATGCTCAGACACAGTCGTCACCATTTTTTCTTCCAAAGTTACAACTTTCTCAACCATGTCAATAGCAGTTTCTCCCGCAACCTCTGTTGGAACTGCAAGATCAACAACTGGTTTATCCAGATATTCAATTTTCTCAGCAATGTTATCCACCCCAGTTTTATCCTTAATCTCACCACTTTGCTCCACCTCATTATCCACCGGTAATTCACTTTTCACGGATAAACCAGCCACCTCTCTTTCCTCCATAATTCCAGTTTCCTCCTTAATCACACTTTGCTCTGTTGAATCAGTCACTTCTACGGCCACGCTTGTTTCTTCCTTGACCAAATTTTTTTCTGTCGCATCATCAGTCCCTCTTTCTTCCGCCACGTCAGCCACATCTTTGTCTTCAGGAACATCTAGATTGTCATTCACATCATCAGTCACCTTTTGCTCCACCGAATTACCCGCTTCCTGAGCCAACTCAACAACTTGTTGCCTCGCCGCAGGAACCTCAATTCCCTCCGCTGTCAATCTTTCATCCGACACATCACCCGCATCCTCCATTTCGTCCATCACATCATCTACTGTCGCATCCTCCACAAATTCAGCTCTCTCCCCTTCCACGTGACTATCCTCTCCGTCACCACCTTCCTTATCACCGTCAACCGGAGGCGAATCTTTCATCTCAACACCAGAATCCAACATCCCGTCCTTCTCCTCTCCAACGATCAAATCTTCGCCGCCCTCTTCACCACCAACCGCCACTTCCACATCAACAACTCCCTCCTTCTCAGTAACAGGAGTCACCGCCGATGGAGCAGACTCGAGCTCGGAACGTGGCTCAGTGTTTTGATTCTGCACCTCGGAGACCGTTTCTGTAGTCACCGGAGCATCTTCCAAATGAACAGAGGAATCAACATCGGAGAAGTGGCGAGGCTCTTCTTCCATGGTTTCCATAGAAGGAGAACTGAAATTAAAAAACGAACTGCAAATCAAAAATCGAGTGAAACCCTAGAGATTGAAAGCCCTAGGGTTTTGAGTTCTGGGTAAAATTTATGGGCGTCGTTTTCTCCTTAATTAATTAATTTATTTTAAAAAAATATTTTTCATATCGCGAAATGGAACGAATCGGCGGGTAGGAGAGGAGGGAGCCGGTGTTGCCGTTCGCATATATGAAAAGAAAACACTAATAGGGAGCGAGAGAGAGGGAGATCAAGAGATTTCATTTTATTGTCCTAAAGTGCAAGGTAATGACGAATCTAACCTCATGGGCCTTTGTAATTCAATTCAATCCATCATCCCAATGAGGTTGGTAAATTGGCCCAATAGGCCATTCAATTATTTAGGTAAACTCGTGGGCGTAACGAGTTTACCATGCACTGCAACATTTATTGTAGATCCCAAAATAAAATTCTAATTGACTTAATGAGCTAATCTTTTTACCCGCTTAACTTATTAAGTCAATTTTATTATTGAATTTATCCTACAGTGTAACATTTATTAATTTTATAATATTTATTGTAGATTTCAAAATAAAATATTAACAATTTAAAAAAAAAATTAAAATTACCTGTCTACACAATGTCTGATATAACTAACTCATATGTGTATATATAAAGTTGGGAACCACATAAAATCAGTTAAAAATACGAGTTTATATTGCAAAGGAAAAATCTTTTATTTCATAATTAATACAAAGATTCTAATGAAAAATGATAATGAAATATGTAATATGTTTCTTATAATCTAGTGTTCCAAACCTTCGATCACATGTATGATACTAGTTAATATCAATTGACATTAACATAAATTGGTTGCATCGTCCGTAGATTTGCTAATACCTCTGAGGACGATTGTCTAAATATTTCTTTGTAAAACATTCATACGTCACACATCTTCTCTCATCATAAATATAGTAGATTATTAACGGTCCCTCTGAATCTCTAACCCCAATTCATATGACCTAGTTGATGACAGTTTCGGTACACTATGTCTCTATGATGATCCCGGTATACATCACTACGACTATCGATGCCACCTTGATCTTTTATCATGTTGTCTTTTGGACAATGCCTAGCCACATGACCAACTATATCGCACTAGTTGCATATTGAATTATTTGTACCATCGTGTACCAGGTGACATAACTTTCTACGATTTATATATGTATTATCATTACATAATTATATCATTTATACAGTTAGAGACGGATACACTAAGTTTCATAAAGGGTCAAGTGTATCCCATTGTTTAAAAAATGAAATTTAATTTAACGTGTTAAGTAAAAATGAAAAAAATTGCATATCCATTATTTTTAAAGAAAAAAAAATTGCATATCCCATTATTTTTATTTTTTTATTAAGTTAAGGTGATTACAAAGTAGTATCTAATATTCTTAAGTCTTAATCATATAACAGTAAACGCTTAATCATCTTACTACACTTGTTGGTGCTTGAATTTATAACCTTTAGAAACAACAACGATTTTTTTAGCCGCTCAAATAAGTTGATTTATGCTTACTCTTAAAATTTTAAATCTGCCACGTGTACAATAAACTACAACATTAAATTATATATTCATATATTTGTTTCAATATATTCGTTTCTGAATTCGTGCTTTTTGAGGCGAAAAGTGTAAAATCAGATTCCGGGTATGGACAATCGAGTTTCGGGTTATTGGATCCGACAACCTTGGACTTTTTCTTCACATTGTGTCGGTATGGTTGGGCCGAGTTGAAACTGCATTTTCATGATTAGAAATTCGATTTAAATTTTATATTTAAATCTTGAATCCTACTAAATATATTTTTATATAAAAAATAAAAAAATTAACTAAATATATATAAAAATAAAATTATTATGATAATTATTCCTATATAGATGATAATTATAATATTATTTTAATTCAAACCAGAGTTGAATTAGATACTTTTTACCTTAAACTTTAATATAATCTGATTCGGTTTCATCATTTGTAAATTCCAACTCAATTCAAATTTAATTTTAAAAAAAATCAATCATAAAATTTCAGATTCAAGGATTAAGTAAATAATTTAAAAAGTTTAATATCGGCTCTTTGCTTCAATTATACAATGTAAATTACATAAATGGTCCTTAACTATAGAGTATTATTCTATTAAGTCTCTCGACTATTAAAAGTTATAAAATTATCCTCTAACTATAGACTGTTACTTTGTTGAGTCCCTCAATTGTTAAAAGTTACAAAATAATCACTCGACTATTTATTATGTTCAAAATTTATATTTTTTGGTTAAAATTTGACAGTATTATAAGTTGAGTGTTATCACGTTAATTGTGGTATGATAAATCTAATTCCATAACCTTAAATGACTCATATTCAATCATCATGTTAAATTTCATCTTAGAAAATTACCATTTTTTAACGAAAAGATGCGAGTTTGAAATATAATGAATAATCAAATGACTATTTTGTAAATTTTAATAGTTGAAGACTTAACAAACCGATATTCTATAGGTGAATAACTATTTTATAACTTTGAATAGTCGATAGATTTTATAAAGTTGTACCCTATAATCAATGACCATTTGTGTACTTTACCCTAAAATCTTTCAAACATCCTTAATTCTATAATTTAACTTTTACTATCATCAAATTACCATCTTCAATCTGTATTTCTTCTTCTTTTGAAACGATTTCCACTACCCATTAAAAATAAGAAATAAAACTCATATTTTATAATAATGTTGTCCTAGTAATATATACAGGATTAAAGGTGTTTAAAATTGGGCACCCGCAGTTTTTTAGGTACATAAAGTACCGGTACCTGGTTTTTCGGACAGTATATTTATCGGTCCGTGACTCGGTCCATTAAGTTCGGGAACATGGTAGTTGGGTACCCGTAAAATCTGGGTACCCGTATTTTCTGGTCACGGATAATTGATTCATATATTTTTTATATTTTTTTAATTTAATTTTTTTTATAAAGTTACATACAAATTTAAAAGTTTATAATATACAATCTACACACAAAAAAGGTGATTTGAAGTTAGTTTTAAGGATAAATAATATTTCCATATATATATATATATATATATATATATATTAAATTTTATTTCCAAAAGAACATTAAAAATATCAATATTGATCATGATTTTTTTTAATATTATATTGACAAATTAATAAAAAATCTCTGGAAATTTTAAAACTTAAAAGTACATGATACAACTCTAAGAAAAATTTAGGTATATAAATTTAATTTTAAGGTAAAAGTATTAAAGAATCTAAAATAAAAATATAATTTAATATATATATATATTAAACCATATACTCATTTATAAAAAAATCGGCACAAACCCAACTATCCAAAAAATTACGGGCAGGGTACCTAGCTCGATCAGATAATTTTTTTTTTTAAATTACTCTATATTTTTATGTTCAAGTCGGTGGATCGACAGAGCGAATTAACCGAGTTAAGTATTTTTAAACCCCTATACATGATTATTAAAAATTCCGACCGACTGAATCTAAATTTCCTTCGATAAATACATCTTTCCACAAAAGTATTGATTAAGGAGCCAATAGTAATTCAACGAAATTATATTTTTATTACATTCTCCTTGCAAAAAGAATTGGTCCTTGTCTGAATTTGTTCTGTTTTCTTTAGCTATTAGGATAAACCAAGAAGAGTCGTATGCTACATGGAACCAACAAGTCATCTATAAATGTCATTAAATATTTTGATTAATTAAAATACTAAAAGACCTTTTAATTTATGTTATAGTTTTAAAATTTAACACGAAACTTATCTCAATGGTCAAAGAAATTATTATTGTTTTTAGAGATTACGGGTTCAGAACTAGCAGTTACAATATGATAATTGAATGTTCATTATTAAATAGTTTAGAATAGTGATGACAACGGTTCGGGTTCGGGTTGGATTTTTTTCCAACCTGATCCGACCGAATCCACCCGACCCTAAAATTATATATCCTTCAACCGAGTTCGACCTGACTCAATTTTTTAGAGTATAAATCTAACCCGATCCGACATGGACTAAGGATTTAATTTAAAAATAATAAAATTTTAAAAGAAATTACGCTATTATCCTCAGGTCGAGTCAGGTCAAAGTTTTTTCACCATTCACCCAAACTCGACCCGACTTCATCACTTAAAAAATCGACCCGACGCGAATCGACTCGAACCCAATTTTTAAAAAAATATGACCTGGTCGAGTTGGAACCTGTCGGATGTGGGTGAAATTATCATTCCTAGTTGAGAGTATTTAGAACATATACTACTTTGTAATCACCTGGAGATGGACCTAGGCGGGGCGGATGGAGGCAGTCGTCATGTCTAAAAATTTAAAATTACTATATATTTTATTTTCAATTAAAAATATATTTTCATCCCCTAAAATTTAATAAATTCAACTTTATCACCCAAACATAAAATTTTGCCACCGTCCCCGTAATCACATTAGTTTAATAAAATATATTTTTGAATTTTTTATTTTATTTAAAAAATAAAAAAAATGGTTTGAATAAAGTTTTTAAAAATAGACGTTTGGTTTAACATTTCAATTTTTTTCTTATAATATTTTATTTTTATTATTTAATGATTAATTCTTAATATTTGATGAATTTAGGAAAAAAAATATTGGTCAATATGTTTAGTATAATTTAAAATTTGAAAAATAAATCACGGAAGTGATCAAACTTGAGTGCACGTTGAAAGAATGTATTCTAAATTAATAAATATTGATCTTTCATTTTGTTAGTTACAATCATCGACCTACCCATCTTTCCAAATTCCATCATCATTTGACAAATTTTAATTTGTTTATCAATATGGTTGAAATTATCTTTAGTGTTTAAATGGTATGTATATGCACCTACCGACGTAGGATTTTATGTTAAAAGTGAATTTAAAATTTATAAAATTTTAAAGGGTGAAAATAAATTTTTAATAGAAAATATATAAAACTCTAAAATTTATTATAATTTTATATTCTTAAGGGGCGACCGTCTCCACCCGCCCCGTCTAAGTCCATCTCTATTTATATGTATAGGGATAAGTGACCAATTACATTTGACTGATTAATTAAGTTGTTTATTTTTATTATTTTATATTCTCGTAGTTTATAAGTTATAGACTTATCATAAGTAATCTCGTTCCTTTTCCTTGACCCCTTTTTACCTCCCCTCTAGATAATATTAGGATTAGATTTAAAGTTTATAAAAAAAAAGTATAGGATTAGGATTTTTCAAGTTCAGGTCGAGTGAGTCATTTTTTAAGGATAATTTTGGATTGATCGATTCATGTTTAAGATGAAAAAATCTCGACTCAACCTAATTCGATATAATAATATAATTATCTATTATATATATATATATATATAGTCTAACACTTGATTTTGGTATGTAAATTTCCAAACAGAAATTATTTTATTCACAATAATTTAAACTCAATACCTGCTTAAATGAAATTAAATTGCTTATCGGTTGAACCAAATATCGATTGATTTTAATATATTTTGTCCTATAATTTATTGAAGATTTGGCATTCCTCGAGACATGAAAAACAAAAATAATAAATAAAAAAACATATTAATATTTTCAACAATCTAACGGTAAGAAAACTCCGATGGAAACGGTATATGATCTGACAAATACGTGAGGACCACGTGCCTTCTCCATTTCACATTAAAAAAGGCAAGGGCACAATCGTAATTGACTTACACAAAAGAGCCGAAGGGCCAGCCCAAAGCCAAGAGAAGAAGCTTCAAAGGATGTTGACGCTGCATCAGATTTGCAGGACCAGTATTATTTTAGGGTAAAGTATACAAATGGTCATCGGGATATAGGGTATTATTTTATTGAGTCATTCGATTATTAAAAATTATAAAATAGTCTCACAACTATCATATATTAATTTGCTAAATCATTGACTATTTAAAAAATATAACTATTAAAAAATATAAAATAGTCATTTGATTATTCATATGTTTTAAATTCGCATTTTTCTATTAAAAATTAACGATCGTCTAAGCTAGATGTTAACACGTTCGTTATAAAATGATAAAATCTTCTCATAACTGTACGAATTGTATTTCGTGGATCGAGTCTATGTTTATATTATATATTCGAGTCAATGCTTGAAAGCAACGATAATATTAGTGGACATTGTTAAAATATATTTTATCATATTCAAATTAGTAAGTTAACGACAAACTCAGAAAACCATCATTTTCTATGGAAAAGAACGGGTTTGAAATACATGAATACTCATGTGTCAATTTTATAATTTTTAATAGTCTGAAAAACTCAACAAAGCATCATTCTATAGTCGAAAATCATATTATAATTTTTAATAATCTATACCAATTTGAACAATTTGTTTATAAATTGTGTATACGTCGTTAATGATTAAAAAAAATCAAAATAAATATTGGATTGATTGGTGGATCAATAACAATTTACCTTAAAGTTATATTTTGCTCCTAAAATAATAAGGCGAAAGTCATAGGATGTTTAATAATACATTATTAATTGAATATTCATTTTTCAGATAGATAAAAATTAAATTTTATAAAAATAAATTATTAATATTTTCAGTTGGATTAAATCTAATTATTTGAAGGTGTATTTGTTATATGGTAAACTACATATTTAGTACAAAAACTATCAATTTTGATCCGTTTTGTAACCAGAAATGAACCTAGGCGGGGGCGATCGTCCCCTTAAGAATTTAAAATTACCATATATTTTAGATTTTTTTCTATATATTTCTATTGAGAATATGTTTTGTCCCCTAAAATTTTATAAGTTCAAATTCGACTCTTAAAATTTTATAAGTTTAAGTTTGCCCCTAACATAAATTCCTACGTATGTCCTGACTTGTAACATAAAAAAGTCATTGAATTAAGAAAAATTACACATTAAGTGCATAAACTATTAATTTTAGTTTATTTTATCAATTAAACTTTTAATTTGTTTAAAATAACACATAAAATTTAGTTTTTGTTTTATTTTAGTACCCATCGTTAAAAACTGTAGTTTTTGTTTCATTTTAGTAATCCGTTCAAAATTTAACGTTAAGTTTGAAAAAAATGAAAGTTTAGGTACTAAAACGAACCAAAACTGATAATTTAAGTACTAAACACATCAAGTTTTTAACGACGATATTAAAAAATAAAATGAAAACTAAATGTTAGATATGATTTTAAAAAATAAAAGTTTAGGTACTAAAACTGATAATTTAGGCACTAAATTCATAGTTTACTCTTGAATTAAAAAGAAGAGAAACAAAATTTTTAAACTCAGAAGGGTAGAAGGACTTGGAGCCGAGTTAGACCATATTTTCGCTATCTATTTTAATCCTTTATTTAAATTGATATTCTCGATTTTGTCCCTCCTTTTCAGCTTTATTTAAACTACTAGGCACCTTTGATTTTTTTTCCTCCATTTCTGCCTCTGTTTTCTGCTCTCCCTGTCAGGTCTCTCTTCTCTTATTCTCTTCGATGATGTTCGTAGCAGCTTTCATTTCATTAAAAAGCTTTAAATTAAACGAGGAATTTCAATTTGTTTTATTGTATTAAAGATTGGAAAGTGGAATTTGTTTTGTGTTTTTGTTCGTACATTGAAATGCTCTATTTCATCGTGTGTTTTTTTATCTGGATTCAAATTGTGTTGTTTTTTGGATTTTGCAGAGCTCGAGTTTCGAGGTGGAAGGCAGGAAGAGTATGGCTAAGGGGTTCAGATCAGAGAATAATGGAGGGAAAACGACAGTGTTTTGGTACTAAAGTTGACGCCGTCGTCAGTTCTTTTAACTGAGCCACCGTCCTTCTTTTCCAGGTATAAAAGAAGCAGAAATGAGAGAATGAATTAATTTTTTTAATTATTCATGTGTACAAAGTTAAATATTGTCGTTTAGCTCGGCATTTACGCATATTTGATTGCCACTACGGGGAATTTTCTGCTCTTTCAATAATTAAAAGTCAGTGTTTTCGTTATTTTTTTTTTCAAAAATATTATTATTATTTTGGGTGTGGGGTTGAGATTATGGAGGGAGGGAGCTTTTCATCTTAACTGCCAGATTCGTTTCCATTTGTTTTCTTTTTTGCAATTTTTTTACTTGATGTTTAACTGTAAAATTAAATTATTAAAATGGAATCATTTTCAAATTGGTTGGAAATAAACCTTATGATTAACTCGTTGTTACTGATATGACCCCGTGATTATATTGTCATACTCATGGTCATGGATAATTTTCTGTAATTGGTTGGATTTGTAATCTTGATTATCTTCTTGTTGCAGATAGATTATAGTTGTGAATGCATGAGCTCAGGCTTAATATTTGTTGGGCAACCACAACAAACTTGCTTGCATTTTTAGGAAAGCAACAGTGAGTTTGTGTATTTGATCTCTTGAGTTTGAATTTCTGGGGGGTAACTGTAAAAGAGGACTGTGATAATTGGGGCAATTGGTGGGGAAGAGTTAAAGTTGGAGAAGGTGCAAATGGCAGCTGCTCGCGAGGAGAAGATTCTTGTTTTGGTGAGGTTGAGGCCTTTGAGTGACAAGGAAGTTGTAGCAAATGAAGTTGCCGACTGGGAGTGCATCAACGAAAATACTATCCTATACCGGAACACCCTCAGGGAAGGATCCACGTTCCCATCTGCCTATACATTCGGTAAGAAAACTCCTTCCGTCTTCATTTTTTTTTTTGTTTGTGGTCAAACCAACTTTGTTGCATTAAACTATTGAGAACTTGCTGAGTGGCTTCTATTTTCTCAAGTTGGCATTTTTTTACTTTGGTAAATGATACTAAAATTTTCCTTTAATAGCCTGGTTAATTGAACCTAGGCCAGCTTAATGATGGAAACATGCATTGTTGGCTTACGTTCTAAAATCAGGTTTAAAAGCATCAAACGTGGACCATTTCTGTTATGTGCTTGAGATTGACAATAGTTTTGATCAATGGATTGTACCCTTTTTTTCCCTTCTTATGGTGGGAACAGATAGAGTATTTCGAGGTGACTGCTCGACAGAGCAAGTGTATCAGGAAGGAGCTAAGGAGATTGCTCTTTCTGTTGTTAACGGTATTAATTGTAAGTAGGGGCATTGACATCTCGGCAATTGTTCTCTGTTTATAAACTTCATGGTGAATAAGAAGTTTTCTCTAACAAACTTCCTTCATCTGTTCCCCAGCTAGCATTTTTGCATATGGACAAACTAGCAGCGGGAAGACATACACGATGGATGGAATAACTGAGTATACTGTTGCAGATATATTTGACTACATAAACAGAGTACTGAAAGTTTTAACTCATTTCTGTTCCATCATGTTGCATGTTCTCGAGGTTATTGTTTAAAAGTGATTTTTACATAGTACCAATATTATCATTCCAGCATGAAGAGAGAGCATTTGTTTTGAAGTTCTCAGCAATTGAGATATATAATGAAGTTATTAGAGATCTTCTAAGCTCAGATAACACCCAACTTAGGCTGCGTGATGATCCTGAGGTGAGTAGCAACATCCATATTACAATATTAGTTTCACTTCCGTGAGTTCATGATTGCTCTAAGACGTTCTTTTTGTCAGAGAGGAACTATTGTGGAAAAAGTCACAGAGGAATCTCTGAAGGACTTGAACCATTTGAAAGAACTCCTTGCAATTTGTGAAGGTAAAACATTTTAAAGAGTGCTCTGTTTACCGGATGATGTTGCGCATTTATGTATTATAATTAATTCTTAATACATTGCGCTGTTGCAGCACAAAGAAGAATAGGAGAGACTTCCTTGAATGAGAGAAGTTCCCGATCTCATCAAATTATAAGATTGGTAATCTCCTCTGCCCGTTCTTTTGACATTGCTTGCAGCTTATATGTAATGATGTTAAAAATTTTCCTTTTCATTTTTGCTTACCGTGGTGTGCGTTCTAACATTTGTAGACAATTGAAAGCTCTGCTCGGGAGTTCCTAGGAAAAGAAAATTCTACAACCCTTGCAGCAAGTGTGGTATAGCTCTTGGAATTTACTTTCCACTTTCGCAGTTTGCTAGTTATCAAATGAAAGAAAAAAAATATTAAATGACAAGTTATTTGGGTGCAGAATTTTATTGATTTGGCTGGAAGTGAGCGAGCATCTCAGGCCTTATCCACTGGGACAAGACTGAAAGAGGGTTGCCATATAAATCGTAGTTTACTGACTCTGTCAACTATTGTTCGCAAGCTAAGGTCGGTTGGATTATCTTATGTTAGAGTGCTCTTGTTTTTCATTTCAATCATCTGCAAGAGATTGTTTAATCTCTAATTTCTTTAAGCATCTATATGTAGTTATTTTGTTACTGTGAGGCACTGAAGCTGAATGAGTTCCTATTTGTTTCCTTTATGGTTATCACTTTTCAATTTTAGACTGAAACAAGGCATTTGAGGCATAGTTTTAGGACAGTGTGCTTAATTAGATTCAGATCTGAATCTTTCTCAATGGCACTAATATTTAAACCACTGTTTACAATACTTCTCGACTGTTTGTTCCTTCAACCCAGTAGGATTTTTAGTAATAATCACTGTTAGATTGTTCAACTCACCAATCTGGTGCTATGGTGGATGCAGTAAAGGAAGACAAGGACATATCAATTACAGGGATTCGAAGCTGACACGCGTACTGCAGCCTTGTTTGGGTGGTAATGCCAGGACTGCAATCATATGTACTTTGAGCCCTTCACGAAGCCACGTTGAACAAACGAGGAACACTCTTCTGTTTGCTTGTTGTGCAAAAGAAGTTACTACAAAAGCTCAGGTCAATGTTGTCATGTCTGATAAGGCCTTAGTTAAGCATTTACAAAGAGAGTTGGCCAGGTTAGAAAGTGAACTCAGGAGTCCCGTGCCTCCTCCTTCCACTAACAGCGACTATGCAGCTTTACTGAGAAAGAAAGATCTTCAGATCGAGAAGGTAACCATCCCCTTTGGGAAATTTATAAATGATGTCAAGGGGTCCTCTTTAATGGACAAAATTGATTTTTTTTTTTTTCATTTAATTTTGTCAAAATAAATTGATTAGCTAATTTATGCATCATATGCAATTATCTCTATTTTTTTTTTTCTAGCGTGATAACAATGAACAATAACAAGTTTGTGAATGATGCATTCTGTGTTAATACTTGTAAAGTTTGGGTGATATAAAATTGGTGAATCAAGCAGACTATTGTTTTCTGATTAAGAAGCCTACAACATTGGGGGTGTCTGACATGCAAAATATAGAAGGGAAAGCATAGGCATTTACATTGTACATGTTGCCTAAAATGGATTACACTATTCAGCTGGAGAAGGAGAATAGAGAGTTGACTAAGCAACGTGATCTTGCTCAATCTCGGGTCAAGGATCTGCTAAGCATGATTAGAAGCGATCAAGATTCAGGACAATTGGTTTGTGTTTTGCCTATAGTATCTTTACATGTTATTCTTTTCACTGAATACAGTGTCTGGTTGCAATGTTATTCACTATTTTCATCTTGAAATATAGTTATTCGTTTGATTTGAATTCCTTAGGCAAGAATCAATTACCATTCCAATCAACGAGCAGGCGATACATGGGAGGATGACTATTCAGAATCAGAGTCATCATGTTTGGCTGCTTCTAATCAATTTGATGCACGTGTTAGAAAATTTGATCCAATTCATTGCTACGACAGAGAGAGGGGGAGTCATCGCTATCCTTTGAACAATCATGAAGATCATTCTATACATAATGGTGTAAGTGGAGGACGATTGACACTGAGATTAAATGGAGATGATGTGGCTGGCCAGGAAACAATGTCTAGCCCATTGAATGGACATAGAGAAGCAAATCACATTCAAGAAGGCCCGGAGTTGAGTGGAAGCTGGAGTTGTAGAGCAGATGTTATGGGTACTATATCTTCTCCATATATGGAACATATTGCAAGCACCCCTCCTAATGGGTTCGAGAAAAGCTTTCCTGGAAGACCAGACAGTTACCAAATGAAATTTCCTTCATTAAGTTATGGTCCCGATAGTGGGATGCTTTCCAGGAATGATTCTCTGTCTTCTCTTGGGAGTGCTTCAATCCAGACTTCTGAAGATGAGCAAATTACTAGCATTCATACTTTTGTTGCAGGACTGAAGAAACAACTTGCCAATGGTCAGGTGAGACTGTGCCTATTTTTTCCCTCTGTTGACAAAAACTTCAATCTATGCACTCGGGCATGTCTAATTTGATTTCTTTGCAAATGTGTGGTACTTTCTCCATAGGTTCAGGGCACCGGCCTAGAAGCAGGTGAGTCTGGAAGAAGCATCAGAGATGATGGGTTGGATCCGATGTGTGAAGCACCAGGAACTCCTGTGGATTGGCCACTGGAATTTGAGAGGTTGCGGAGAGAAATACTCAAAGTTTGGCAAGCTTGCCATGTTTCCTTGGTTCACAGAACATATTTCTTCCTCCTTTTTAAAGGCGATCGAACTGATTCAATTTACATGGAGGTAGAACTTAGGAGACTTACCTTCCTCAAGGAAACATTTTCGAAAGGAAACCAAGCTGTAGAAGATGGTCGCACCGTCACATTGGCTTCAAGGTTATCTCTCTTTCTTTCTTGCAACCACCGATTGTCGATACTGAATGTTGCAATCCATGAAGTGTGCTTTAGTTTTCTTGTCGAGGATCCTATTAGAGCCTTAGTAATCGTGTGGAGTTCGACTCAGTCAACGACACATATGCTGTTTTATGTATACTTCCATTCAACATTGTGTTATGGTATCTTTTGCATAATTCTTAATCTCTTAATTTATCCGGCACAGCGAAAGAGCTCTTAGCCGCGAGAGGCAAACCTTGAGCAAGCTGATGCGGAAAAGGTTCTCGGAAGAAGAAAGACAAAAACTATACCAGAAATGGGGCATCGACTTGAACTCGAAGCAGAGAAGGCTGCAGCTGGTGAACCAGTTGTGGAGCAATGACAAGGATATCAATCACATCACCGAGAGCGCCACCATTGTCGCGAAGCTGATCAGGTTCGTAGAGCAGGGGCGTGCCCTCAACGAAATGCTCGGCCTTAGGTTTATTCCGCCGCGGCCTCTGCGGAGATCCTTTAGTTGGAAGAACAGCATGACATCCCTCATATGAGCCTGCGTTTTATGCCTTTGTTGAGAGTTATAGGCCATGATGTAGCATTCTTTTAATGATTGAAATTGTTAACTGATTGTAAAGACCATCCAGATAGAATGGTGTATGAATGTATGTAAATCTTAACCCGAAAACTGGCTTGACGAAATTGCCCATGGCGAAGTTGGGTTTTGAATGTATTTCCCTTAGGTGACACGGATTTGGAAATACTGTTTTCAGAATGTTATTTTATTTTTTTTGGTATAATCACCGGTATTTAAACTATTGATTGATTAATTTAGATCAGGTATTGCAAAAGTGAAGCGACCTTCCCAACTCAGTTTGTCACATTCGCAATCGCGAGAATTCGAATCCCTAATCTTATTTAAAAGATCTAGTATTTCGTCTCATTAAACTAACTTGTTGGTGGTATCGTATAAATGTTATTTTTTGGGTGTTATAATCGTGTTTAAGATCTTATATTTATGTAAGTCCTTTTATAAAATTAACTTTAATTATCACGGTAATGAATATATTTTATAGCATTTGTTATGTTTTATCAAATAATTGCATTTTTCATAAAAAAATGCATTAAGGAATATATTTATCGAAAAATAATTCTCAACATATATTATTCTATAATTATCTTATACTATTTAAAAATAATAAATCATTCTCAAAAGGTCAATTTAAAAAAAATTAGTGTCAATTTGATCGAACGTTGCAAGTTCAAGAACATTTTTGTGTCGTGAACTTTTTTAAGGTCCCGTTTGTCGTGGTTTTCTAAATACTTTTAGGTAAAATGTCTATTTCGATCGTAAAATCAATGTCAAACGGGTAAGATGAGAAAAATTACGGTAAAAACGGTGATTTCAAACCAACAACAAAAGTTAAGATTTCTAGCTTTTTCAGTTTCAATTTTGCGTTTGTAAATAAATTATAATTTTACCCTTAATAATGCATGAACTCTACTCAATTATGTATTTACATTTTATTTAAATAATTTAATACTAACACCCTTAAGAAAATAATTAATTACTTAATAATTTATTTTAATTACCAATATATTTTTGTAATATTCTTTTTGTCAAAAACAAATATGTAATATTTTATAATAATTTTATGTCCATGGTAAAAAGTATTTATAATATATTTTTCTTAATAAAATGTATAATTTATAAAAATATTATTAATGAGTTATCTTAAAATAGTTTTTATATTTTATTATAGTTTAAATTGATATTTTATATATTATAATATTAATAAGTGTAAATATAATTTAGATGTTATATTTTTAATTTATAACATAATGTCTATAATAGATATTTTTCTTTTTAAACACACTTTTTAACAATAATTTTAAACAATTAAATTTTAAATTGTACTTTTATACAACATTTAAGCTCGTTTCTACAACTATTTTAAAAAGTTACTTTTCAAAAACCAAATAGTAAGATTATTAAACATATATTTATGTTATATTATAATTATGAAAATATATTTATATGAAATGCAAATGTATATTAATTTTTTTATTATAATAATTAAAGTAATTTTTATAGTAGACAAATAAAATAATAAAGACATAAGGGCTAAAAAGTAATTAGACTAATTATTGGTGGCTTTGAAGAAGTTAAAACGCTGTCGTTTCATCATCAACAGACCCATGTCATATTCATAGATCAATTTAAGCTTCCATATCCGAACTGAAGCAGAGTGGGGAAATACCCTGAGAGAGAGGGAGAGTAGAGAGTATAAAAGAGAAATTAAAAGCAAAAAGGCCACCGAAATGAGCGGAGCCACGACGGCGGCGTATTTAGCTCGACGAGCAGCGCAAAAGGAGAGGGTTCGGATCCTCTACCGCCGTGCCCTCAAACACCCTCAACTGGGCCGTCCACCGCCACATCTTCTATCAAGATGTAACTCCTCACAATTTCGCAATCTCGTTTTCTCCTCTCATTTTTTTATTCAATTGAATCTCTTTTTTTCATTTATATGTTTAGGCCTCTGACCTTCGCGAGAAATTCGAAGCCAACAAGCATGTGGTTCGTCCTCATTTCTCAATCTTCATCTCAAATTGATTTTACAGTAAACTTGAACGAGTATTTGTTGAATCTCAATTTTTTTACCGTGTAGTGATTTGCGATGGACATCTTTTTTTTTTCTTTCTATGATGATGATAATTTGAGCTTATTGACCTTCTGCGTTGAACTTATCAACACTCATGTAAATGGTGTTTATCGTTTTAAAATGGTCTAATTAATTAATTGGTTTAACTTAAGGCTATTTTGGATTTAAGTTTTACAATTTGGTGTGCTTTTGCAGGAAGTTCTTGACACAATTGACAAAATGATAGCTGCAGGTGAAGCAACTTATAATAAGTGGCGGCATCCTGATCCATATATCGGTAGGTCTAAGATATACATAGAATGGGAGAGAAATATGGATTGGATTTTGAATTTTATATCCTGTCTCAATAATTATCACGTGGAAGGGATTCGTAAGTGAATTTTGGGATTCGTAAGTTGTTTTGAACCCTTCTTTTCAAACAGTCGAGAGGCGAATAGCACAAAATTTTGATAAGGGATTGGAATCTTGTAGGATTTTAGTGTCTTATAATGGTTGGTTGATAAAAGTTAACTTTCAATCATTGTGTGAAACAAGGAAAATGAGAGCAAAGGTTTGTGGAAGTAGTTTAAGAGATGCTACCAAACAATTACTATGTCGATTCACTTCTCATTGCTTTGTTGCATTGCTTTTTCACTTACATTATTGTGTGTTATTATTTTCTTGTATCTGGTCCACCAGACCATTAATATGTTAATTCACCTCTTCTATTTTCTAAATGAATTTTCAATTTCATAAGTTCACTTGAACTTTCTTTTCTAACAATTAAGAGGAGAATCGCTCAAGATTCTGAAAATTGGGAGAAATCCTGTAATAACTAATTAGTTATTATAGGATTTCAGTTTCTTCTCATATGATAGTTTGATGATACCAGTTGATTGTGTGAAAGAAGACTAATAAGAGCCAAGGTTTGCACAGAAGTAGCGAAGACAGCTGCCACACTAGTACTAGTCTACTATGCCAATTCGCTTCTCATTGTTTGGTGGCATCTCTTTTCCACTTACATTCTTGTGTTTGTTCCACCAATAGTTGATTATTGCTTATTAGGTCTCGTTTTTTTTATGACATGTGACTGATTAACTGTGATATAGGTAGGTTTCTCATCAGGTGCTTAGTTTCCTGTTTTAAGCCTAGTATGCTGTTTGAAGCTCATGCGTTAAATTCATTTGCAGTTCCTTGGGCTCCTGGTGGTTCCAAGTTTACTCGAAACCCTGTCCCACCTTCTGGGGTAAGTGTTAAGCTAACATTTCTTGCAAAGCAGTGTTTTTTTCCTTCTCGCATTCCATGCATTCTGCCAATGGCTGTTGTCCAGAGCTTAAGAAAACTAGTAAAGAGTAACTAGAACCCTTTTTATTAGTCTCGTTTTACTACTTGATAGCAGATAGTTTGGTTATTTCTTCCTTTAAGTAAGTTTTATCTTTATCTTCATCAAGCATCAAAATTTTATCTATTTTGGTGGAGAATGGTGGGGAGAATTGAAAAGTCTACCTGTCTTATAATATGCTTACAACAACCTCCTAATAAATACAGCGTTTTCTTGTTTTATGTTGTTGATTACCTATATCATTTGTGTTATGTCAGCTAATTTTACTAAATTTCTGATTGGTCTCGTTGCTTCTTATCTGGTTCTGATTGTTCACTTTTGATGCAGATTGAGATTTTGTATGATTATGGTCGAGAAGAGAATGATTAAAACATCCATCTTTTCATATCCCAAGCAATAAAGGTTAGCCATATGCTTCATATAGATTTTTTTTTTTGATAAGGAGTAGGTGTCGTCCAAGGATTGAACCCAGACTCGGTAACATGTCCTTGCCATTCCACCTATGGTTCAATAAACATACTTTATTTAGATTTTCATCATCTGTTGTATAATTTATGGGATGATTCTACATTTTTGTCTCTTCTAAATTTGGACCATTTTTGCACTAAGGTCCGAATACTTAGAAAGCATACTCTTTGCTTGAAAATCCAACGTGGTATCAACGAGGCAGCGATGGAAAGAGCTTCTCTCCCTTGCTCTGCCCGTTTAGTTTAACTTAAATGTTGAAACTCTTAATTTTCGGTTGATGCAGGTCTAAAGGATCCTCGAGTGCGTAACAAGGGATCTTGGACAGCAACTACTTTGCATTCTTTTAACTGAGATAAGACTTTTTAATAACATTCATGTTGATGCTCTTTTGTGGTTGTTGCTATGTGTCTGGTCTTTTGTGCAACAAAAGATCATTGGTCGGACTGAAGGTACATAAATGCTTGCTGACTTGGCATAGAATTACAATCTTGAATCTTTCTTGTGACGAACTATTTTCTCTCATTTTTATATGCCGTCTTTTCTCATTCCGGCTATTATTGTTAGCTGGCAATTGAGCTGATGGAGAGATCCGGATCGGATAACCGGTACCCATGCACAAATAGGAGCAAAAAGGGATCACGTTTACCATAACCGTACTACACTTGGAACTTGGCTTTGGCAATAGTTAGCAACATTTTTCTGCATAAATCAACAATGCCACTTACTTTAAACCATATAATTCAATTTAAGTACACTTTAAACAATATAATTCAATTTAAGTACACTTATGTTTAAGATGCATTTAAATCCATTCTTAAATAGAATTTTCAATTTTCTTACTAGAGGGCTTCAAGATTCTTCCAAACATAGGAGTAAAATTGCAATTGTGATTTATTATAGGGGAAATTATGTATTTAGTACTTAAAATATCAGTTTTAATATGTTTTAGTACTTAAATTTTTATTTTTTTCAAAATCATACCTAATGTTTAGTTTTTATTTTATTTTAGTACTCAATTGTTAAAGACTTAATGTGTTTAGTACTTAAACTATCAGTTTTGGTCTGCTTTACCATCTAAACTTTAATTTTTTTTAAAACTTAATGTTAAATTTTGAACAGAGTATTGAAGTGAAACAAAAATTAAATTTTATGTATGATTTTGAAAAATGGAAAGTTTAGTTATTAAAATGGATTAAAATTGATAGTGTAGGTACTAATTGTGTAATTTATCCTTTATTATATGCTGGGACGGTAAAAAAAACCAGTATTTGATGAACTTCAATACCATAGGATCAGATTTTTTTATAAAGTTCAAGTTTGGTCGTGTTTAAATTTAGAGAGAATGTCTTAAAATAATAACAAAA